GTTCACCTCGCGCCCACCATTCACTCTTCAACTCATGTCCCTCTGACATTCCCCTTAATCCTGAACTAGAACGTTTCCACTTACAACGGTGTGGGGTAAGGATTGCAGTTTCCCATGTGTGACACTTATTAAGCATGTCATATTACATATCTTAATCACATATATGAAAGGTGTCAGTCAAGCGGTGCGTTAGGAGACTCCTTACTTCCCCTTAAACACAGGCATTCCTCCCGGGTTCTCTCTTCACAGCACATTAACAATTACGAGTTGAAAGATCATAAAAACAGGAATCCCAGGCCCAAATGAAACAAAGATCGAAACTATAACTGGGAACAACCTTTCAAGAAGCGCGCCTGGATTTCCAGGAGAAAATATCTCTGACTTGCAGCCTCCTCTAGTCGTCTAATTTCCCGCGAAATGGCCTGCGAAGATATAAAGAGAAAAAAAAAAAATCCACCACTCCATGAAAACCCAGGATTGTCAGCCACCCTCACACCCCGGGAGGGACTTCGGACAACTCCACGAACAAGTGGGCTGCAAGGGCGAGAGCAAGCCGCGACCCCCTGTGCAGGGCCCGCCTGAGTGACCTCGCTCCCGGTTCAGAAAAGCCAAGCCCGTGCGCACCAGAAATCTCTGCTGCAGACCTGCAGCTTTTTGTGTGACAGAAAAAAAAAAAAATAAAACGACTCCCAACAGCTTCCCAAGCCACCCACAAACTCCTCCCACCTTTAACTTCTCTTGGACTCGTCGAGCCACTGTTACTCAGGAAACGCCCCGGCAGGAAGTAAAGCGGCTAGGGCGGCAGCACGGTGCATCCTGGGAATTGTAGTCCGTGCTTAGAGTGCGCAGGCGCGGGGATGGAGGCGGGGCGCCAGGGAGCAGAGCCCCACGGGGATTGTAGTTTCTCCTGAATTACGTGTACTAAGAGTGTCAGAAGGTCAAAGGGTGCAGTTAGGAGAGGTCAGACGGCTAGAGTGCTCTCAGTGAATCCCTGTGGGACAGGAAGACTTGGTTTGGGAACTGTGCGTGTCGTCTTCCGTTCGACAGTAGATCTGAGATGGATTGAGATAGCCCTCATGTGGACTGAGTGGGGCTAAGGACAAGGCACAGAATCTGCAAACAGGATTATGGAACTGTGAGAAAATACCGTAGAATGAAGGAAAAGAAGCCATCCCAAAGATTCAGAGAAAGAACAGACATCAATACATCTCATCAATCATAAGATTTTTGAGAAATTTTTGCCTCTTCGAAAAGAGTACCAAAAACATTTTGTGTATGACATGCAGACTAATGAAAATATGTCTCAGTCTGGAAGAATATGCAACAAAATGTTAAGATTCTTTTTTTTTTTCAATGAGGAATGACTTTTTTTACACTTTATTTTCTGAATTGTTTACCAGGGCTATGTATTCCTTTTTCGTATAAAATACTTCAAATATGAAGAAAAGTATATAGCACAAGTTTTAAACATCCTGGCTACCACAAAGCTTTGCCATACTTTAGGTCCTTCCTTCCTTCCTCCTTTTCCCCTACCCAACCTTTTTCTTTCTCTTCATTCTAAAAGTAAAAAATTACAGAGGTGAAAAAACTCTACGAATAGAGATAGCTCATGTAGTTCTTTCTCTTCTGCAGAGAAATACACACACATACATATACATTCTGAAGGGCTTTTATGTATATGTGTATATATCTACATACGTATGTGTATTGTATGTATTTCAGAAAATGGTGTCATACATACCGTATGAATCGTTAAATAATTTGCTCTTCTCACTGCCCTTCATCCTTTTCTTTTAGATTTATCAAAAAACATAATACATATATAGTTCTAATTCATTCTTTTGGGACTGCGGTGGTAACTAGGCTTGTTTGTCTTTAGAGGCAGTCCTGGGAATTGAACGCAGGACTTTGTGTGTGCTAAGCATGCACTCTATCACTTGAGCTATACCCTCACCTTTGATTCATTCAGTTTAACTTCTATATGCTATTGCATTGTACGACAATGACACAATTTAATTATCTAATCTGATAAGGGATTCTTACTCTGTTCCAAATATTTTGTTCTTGTAAACAATATTATTATGTAAATTGCCAGCCCCTGAGAATATATGTATTTTCAGCTTCACCAGATGCTGCCAAAATGCTCTACAAAGTGGTTGAACCTCTTTTCATTCTTTTCACCAAAATAGATTGTGAATTCTCTAAGATCCACATTTTTGCTATAACTGAGTGTTGTCACAACTTCTTTATTGTTAGCTTGATAGACTTAAAATAGTATCTGATTATTATTTTAATTTAGATATACTTGATTTCTGTCAATTTCTAAATTTTGAAAATGGGACTTTAATTTATTTTCTCCTTTTGTTCGTCATGTTTGGTAATTTTCTGCAAGAAACACATATTGTTTGTGTTGGAAAATAATTTATTTTAGATTTACATTGCGTTTAGATAATGATATCTTTCTCTATATTCTAAGTTTTCCATAATACTTTATATTATTTCTTTATTTCAATTATTTTAAAGTTTATTACACTACTTCTCAATACCTTTCTTTATGTATGCCAGGGACTAAGCGACATTTCCCTGATAGTGTAGAGAACACCATATTTCTAATGAGTTCTGCGTAAGGCTGCTTTAGGTTTTTAGCTATGATGGCAACAAACACAGAGTATTGTGTACTGTGTACTCTGTACTCAGACTATGTGTATATATTGAACCTATAGGCCACAGAAACCGCCTGGTCTTTTTCTGCTGAATAGCTTCTCACCAGAAACTAGCTTTTCCTACTTTGGCTTACTTTCAGCATTTCTAATGATCTCTTATTTTGTTGTCTTTTTCCTTGCCCATTTACATCTAAACCAGTTCATTCTTCCTCTGATTTTTTTTTTTCAGGCATTGACTTTGTGTTTTGTTGTTATACAAGCAACAAGATTAGAGTTGGAACTACTGAGTAAGGTTCATCAGTAGTTAGCAAAGCTAACCTTTTTCACCCCCAAAATATTCCCTCATGCTCCTTTGTAGACAGCTGCTCTAACCTGAAGCCCTGGGAACGACTTACAGTTTTTCTGTTCCTGCAGTTTTGCTTTTTTTTTTTTTTTTTTTGAGATTATGATTGTGTTTGCCTGCTCTGGTTGCTATAACAAAATATCACAGACCAGGTAGCTTAAACAATAGATATTTATTTCTCATGGTTCTGGGGCCTGAGAAGTCCAAGATCAAGGTGCCAGCTGACTTGGTTCCTGGTGGGAGCCTGCTTCATGGCTTACAGACATCTGCCTTCTCAGTGGGAGGGTTCTGGTCTCTCTCTGTTATAAGGACACTAATCCCATCACAGGGGCTCCACCTTCATGACCTCATCTAACTTCCTCCCAAAGTCCCCACTGCCAAATACCATCGCATTTGGGGTTAAGGTTTCAACGTAAGTTTGGGGATGGAGGATACAAACCTTCCATTCACAACAGTGATGAACAGAATCACATATCACGTAGCTTTTTGAGCCTTGGTAAAATGCATTTGAGATTGAGGGATTTCATTGTGTGTATCAGGAGATTTTTTTATAGCCCAATAATATCCTGATACACAGATGTTCTGCACTTTGTTCATGTATTCATCAGCTGAAGGAAATTTGGGATTGTTCCCAATTTGAGGCAAATATACATGAAGCTGCTATAACCGTTTGCATACAGGTTTTCGGGTGAAGATTAGCTTTTATCTCTCTTGGGTACATACATAAGAGTGGGTTTGCTATGTCATATTTTAAAGCAAATGCTTAAGTTGATAAGAAATTGCCAGACTGTTAAGATGGATCAGTAAGCCCTCTCCCACGTGTCCTATAACAATACTAATGAAAGTTCACAGTGATTTTGTTTTAATCTTCCTGTGAACTTTCATTGTTATTGTTACGGGACATTGGGGAGATGGCTTACTGATCCCTCTTAAAGCCGAAATCAAATTTTTGCTTCTTTTTGTTTCCACATTTCTGCAGGCTTGCCCCATTTGTCCAAGTTGTCCCATTACCCTGTGTTCCTCTGTCTAACTGACCCCATTCATAGAAACCAGTCATCCAAGCCAATAATCCAGGAGACGTTCTACGCTTCTCTCCTTCACAATTCACATACATTAAGTTCTATAAATTCCACTCTTTAAATAGGCCTCGATACTCTCCCTTCCTTTTCATTTTCCTACTGTTATTGCCTGAGCTCAGAACCTTGCCTTTATTACTGCACTAGCCCATTTACTGGCTTCTCTGCTTCCTACCATCTCAAATGCTCAGCAGCATCCTTCCCCAGCTGTGTCTCTAAGCTGCCTGCTTCGTCAACTACCTCTTCTACTGTTCCTGCCTCATTCGCTATGTCTCAGTTGCACTAAACTACTAGCAATTCTTTGGACAAATTGTGTTGTACATCATGTGACATGTTCCATGTCACTGTGCTCACTGCCCACTCTCCCTGTATGCCCCCCTCCCACCGCCCCCTCCCCTCCCATTCAGCCATTCCACTGTCAACAGATAAATTCTTTCCTTCATGACTTCCTGGGGACTTGAATTTCCTTCTTCTGTGCTCCTATAAAATTGTATTTAATTTAAATATTTATATGTTTTTTATCTTTGTTAGCCTACTGTTTCAATCAATGCCTGAATTCCAGTGCCTGGAATTTTTGTTATAAAACAATGTTCAACGTTGTGCTTTGGTTTGGAAAACTATTAAAAGTACATTAATTCTTGTATAAGTTGTTCCATTACTCACAAAGAATAAGATAACCAATCACGGCATGCATCTCAAAAACCAACAATTGTTCTCAGTTTTCTAACTTTTACAAAGATAGAAGAAGACAATATATTTGGTGTCACCATTTACACCTTAAGAGAAAAGTATTGATCATGTATGTCATAAGCTGATACAAATTTCTTACAAAAACATGTTTCACAACTCTAAACAATTCCCTTAAGTTTGGAGGCTGAAGATTACACTGCAGATGTAAACATCTTAATAAACTTTCAAAAGAAGATCTTTATTTCTTTACATTAAATAGAAAGATACCACAAGAAAGAGACAACTACTCAAACAAAACATAGAAAAATTAGTTTTATTGAGACTAATGAAACGTCTCCTGCCACCAGAAAATGAGGAATGGATTCTGGTGAGATGGCCACCTGCGAATTTGAACCTCCAATCAAGGAATATATAGTTGGAGCTAAGACATAAGTTATAAACCAGAGAATCTGGATGTAACCTAGAAAATACAGAGAAGAGAAAGTTGGAAGTTTTTGCAATCTAAATGTAAAGCAACAAATCTGAAGTCCACTTAGAACCTCTGGCTTGTGGTTTTCATTTCTTTATTTCTTCAATTATTTACCCTATCAGTGGAAGGGTGAACTGGGATGATCTTCAAGGAAAATTGTCATATTATTTTTTTTTGAGAATTGTCATATTAAAATGATAAATGCTCTTCAATTCGGATATTCAGCTTCTTGCTATTTATCCTAGAGAAACACTTGTATATATGCACAAAGAGGCATGTACAGGGATTTTCATCGCTACGTAGTTGTGATTGTGGAAGATTGAAAATGCCTACAAATTGGCAACCAGAAAATAATTAAAGAAATTATTGGCACATCTGTAGAAGGAAATA